CGACCCTCGGGGAGGCGCTTCCCGTGCCGGAGGTGGTTGGGATTAAAAATCTGGTTAAATCAGAGCGCGGGCGGGGCAGGAGCTGTGAGAGGGAGAAACAGCTGAGGGAAACTGGAGCAAAACCAGAGCAAAACCTGAGCAAAAGCAGAGTAAAATCAGAGTAAAACCGGAGTAAAATCTGAGTAAAAGCAGAGTAAAACCGGAGTAAAAGCAGAGTAAAGCCGGAGTAAAAGCAGAGTAAAACCGGAGTAAAATCTGAGTAAAAGCAGCATGAAACCTGAGCAAAACCTGAGCAAAAGCAGAGTAAAACCGGAGTAAAAGCAGAGTAAAACTGGAGTAAAAGCAGAGTAAAACCGGAGTAAAACCAGAGTAAAACCAGAGTAAAGCAGAGTAAAACCGGAGTAAAATCTGAGTAAAAGCAGAGTAAAACCAGAGTAAAACCAGAGCAAAAGCAGAGTAAAACCTGAGCAAAATCAGAGTAACACCGGAGTAAAAGCAGAGTAACGCCGGAGTAAAAGCAGAGTAAAGCCGGAGTAAAAGCAGAGTAAAACCGGAGTAAAAGCAGAGTAAAACCTGAGCAAAATCAGAGTAAAACCAGAGTAAAAGCAGAGTAAAACCTGAGCAAAATCAGAGTAAAACCTGAGCAAAAGCAGAGTAAAAGCAGAGTAAAACCGGAGTAAAATCTGAGTAAAAGCAGAGTAAAACCGGAGTAAAAGCAGAGTAAAGCCAGAGTAAAAGCAGAGTAAAGCCAGAGTAAAAGCAGAGTAAAGCCGGAGTAAAAGCAGAGTAAAACCGGAGTAAAAGCAGAGTAAAACCTGAGCAAAATCAGAGTAAAACCGGAGTAAAAGCAGAGTAAAGGCAGAGTAAAACTGGAGTAAAAGCAGAATAAAACTGGAGTAAAAGCAGAGTAAAGCTGGAGTAAAAGCAGAGTAAAACCGGAGTAAAAGCAGAGTAAAACCAGAGTAAAACCGGAGTAAAAGCAGAGTAAAACCGGAGTAAAAGCAGAGTAAAACCGGAGTAAAATCTGAGTAAAAGCAGAGTAAAACCGGAGTAAAAGCAGAGTAAAACCGGAGTAAAAGCAGAGTAAAACTGGAGTAAAAGCAGAGTAAAACCGGAGTAAAAGCAGAGTTAAAAGCAGAGTAAAACCTGAGCAAAAGCAGAGTAAAACCGGAGTAAAAGCAGAGTAAAGCCGGAGTAAAACCGGAGTAAAAGCAGAGTAAAATCTGAGTAAAAGCAGAGTAAAACCTGAGTGAAAGCAGAGTAAAACCTGAATGAAACCCAAGTAAAACCAGAGCAAAGCCTGAGCAAAAGCAGAGCAAAAGCAGAGTAAAACCGGAGTAAAACCCAAGTAAAACCAGAGCAAAGCCTGAGGAAAACCTGAGCAAAAGCAGAGTAAAATCAGTAAAACCGGAGTAAAACCAGAGCAAAACCTGAGCAAAAGCAGAGTAAAACCAGAGTAGAGCCTGAGCAAAGCCTGAGCAAAAGCAGAGTGAAACCAGAGTAAAAGCAGAGTAAAACCCGCCTTTTATCCACAATCCCCAGGAATC